ATGAGCACCGAGGGTCACCAGAGTTCGAAGAAACTGAATGGTTCTTCGTATATTTACGTCATTTGAGATCTTTTCAAGGAAAAGTAACCCTGAATTCATGATCAAAGCGATAGAAAACTTCGAATAGTTCCATTCTCTTTCTTCTCCGGCGCCGGCGGACGGCAGTGGCTGCCAATCAGCGGAGCCGGCACGGTAGAGGCTCGTCGATTTCTAGGATCCCTTGAGCTCTGGTTGAGAGATCTCTCTCTCTTTTTCTCTCTCATTCACTTGAATGGAGATTAAGCAAATGAGGTAATTGGGTAATTTTGGCCGAAGGTTTCAACTTATATACTCCCCACGAAACGACGTAGATTCGATGGGGATTGGTATGTAATTTTGTGAATGAGTTAATATCATCTTAAGTCACTACTCTTGTCTCATTCTATATTTCAGCCATTTAATGAAATTCTGCTTTATTTTATTTTGAGCCTTAGTGTTTCAATACTTTTATTTTAGTCATGTTCTTACTTATTTTGTTATTTTTATTAGAATTTGAATTTGGTCATTATATTTGCAATTATTTCCTTTTAGTCACTGCTTCATATTCGTTTTAATTATTATTTGGCATTGTATGTTTCTGTTTTATTTTATTCTAGGCTTCATCATTATTTGTGGGTTATTTCCACTTCAGGTGCCTATATTATTTAACATTTGTGATTAGGGTTCTGGTTTATTTTGTAATTATTATTTAACCCTTTTAGTTTCTGTTAATACCATTTTAGTCCTTTAAGTTTGTGTTTTTTCTATTTTAGTCTTTTAAATTTTAGTTTTCACTGTTTTAGCCTTTTAAGTTTCTATTTTTGCCATTTTAATCCTTTAAGTTCATGTTTTTGCTAGATCTCTTATCAAGTAAAAGGATTTTCTTTTAAACAAGTAATTTGAATCAAGTCTTTAAATTTAAATTTAAATTTAAATAATTAAGACAATCGATAAATTAAAATGGTACCGAAAGGACAGTTCAAAGGTGTTAACCCTTCCTTGACTGTAATCGACTCCTGAATCCGACATATTTATGGTAAAACGCAGATCATGTAAGATGGTGTCTGATCAACCTAAATATTTTTTTAAATGATCGGTGGCGAATCTAACGTGTTTTATTTAAGTCGAAGCCCAATTCCGAGCCCACTCGAAAAATGACTGCGACAAAACCTAAATCAATGTTCACCTATTATGGAATTAATGGTACATCTCCCGCAAATATGCTCAAGGGGTGACTACTGGTGATTCCTGAAATAGGTCGACACCCTTTTCAAAGATCGCATCATGATTTCTAAAAACATGGTAATATTCGGTTATTAAGCACAATACCTGATCTCCCGCATTTACTCTTGGGAACGAATGTTATCGGTCTAAATAAACGAATATTTTTTTAACTTTGCATCCGTAATGATTTTCAAATTAAATAAAGATCGAACTCAAACTTTTTAGATTTTAAATATAGGGTAATCAACTAGGTACCAATGTTTGGGCGTTTGTAGGGGCGCTAATCCTTCCCATACGTAACTTACTCTCGAACCTGATTTCTGGATTTTTGCAGACCTTAAAACTTGGTATTTTAATAAAATTAAAATGTTTTATTAAAATCACACGGTTTTTATGGTGTCTCAATCGCACTTTAAATGATTGGTGGTGACTCCTCACATTTCGAAATGCTTTTTAAAGAGTAAACCTCCAATTCGGTATCAGTCATTTCCCCGCCCAGGCGAAAAACGATGTCGACACTAATAGTGCACTTAAATCACCAAACTTTTCAAACTTCTAAAATGATCATATTTCACATATTAACACTCATTTCAATTCCAAAACAGTAAATTCCAGCATAGTACATCAACTATTAGACAATACACAATCATTCACAACTTTTTCAAAATTAATGAATTGGTCCCTCAACTTTTCAAAAATTAAAAAATGGTCCCAAAATTTTTCTAAGACTTGTAACATACTTCCTACATCATTTCCAGCCCTTACATAATTTTCCCATAATTTTCCTCACTCAAAAATACCATGGTTGAATGCTTTAAACCTTTAAAACTAGGTTTTCATGATTTTGCTCGATTTTGATTCGATTCAAACATGAAATCTACTTCCAATCAACCTTACAACATATCTATAATCAAAGACTTAATCAAATCTAATCAAAACACAAAGTTCTGGAATTTCTTCATGTGGCTGAAATTCATAGAAGAATTTTTAGGAAGTTTGAACATGTTTTAATCATAAATCAAGCTTGAATATGCTTTACAATCTCAAAAACATCAAGATTCATCATCAATTTCATGAACCCTAGTGTGAACACAAACCCTAAAATTTGGGATCTTTGAAATCAAGCAAGTTGAGCAAGCATAATTGGTACCAAAAGATAGCGTTTTTCAAATATATCACTTTCTATTTCACGGCATAACTTGAAATCCAAAGGAAATTGCTCAAAAATGGAAACTAAATTTTTTTCTCTTACCTTAGGAAGCTCACGACAACTTGGAGAAGACGATAACAAATTGGCATGAGTATTAGATAATTTCATGCTAATTTACCTTTGATTTAAACTTTAATGAATATTAAATTCATTAAATTGAGAAATAACTAATTTACCCTTAATGAAACTTCATATTTACCATCCAACCAAGACACCTCAACCTTATCATCTTCATAATTGGTACCAAAAGATAGCGTTTTTCGAATATATCACTTTCTATTTCACGGCATAACTTGAAATCCAAAGGAAATTGCTCAAAAATGGAAACCAAAATTTTTTCTCTTACTTTAGGAAGCTCACGACAACTTGGAGAAGACGATAACAAATTGGCATGAATATTAGATAATTTCATGCTAATTTACCTTTGATTTAAACTTTAATGAATATTAAATTCATTAAATTGAGAAATGACTAATTTGCCCTTAATGAAACTTCATATTTACCATCCAACCAAGACACCTCAACCTTATCATCTTCTTAAAGTCAAAATGAACAAACAATATCTTACTTTACCAATTTTCCCTTGCCTTTTTTTAAATCTTACAATCTTGCCACTTTAATCCAACGATCCATATTAAACATGGAATTAAATCCTAAAATCCAAATACTTATATTATTTTCCAACATTTTAAATGTGGAAATAATATTTTTAGGTCTAAATTATCATCCTTCATATTTTCTTGAATTTTCTATTCGATACGATTTACCGAATTTTTCCTCAACTTCATTACTTTATAACTTTTAATACAAAACCCGTATTAAAATTCTGATTCCCACAAAAATGTTATTCTTGAGATAAACTATTTATTTACGAGGCCAAAATGTAACTTTTTAAAATTACCATTTTGGTTCCTAAACTTTTCCAAAATTTATATTTTGTTCACTAAACTTTCAAAATTTACATTTTGGTCACTATCTAAAATTTGGGGTATTACATTACACAAGTTGATTTGGTTCCCTATGCATTTCTCTAAGTATGTTGTGGTTTCTTGGTTCGTCATTCTTAATCGTCTTGCGACCAAGAATAAGCTGCGAAGAATGAGGCTAACGGTGGATCGTGTGTGCGTGTTATGTGTTGATGCTGAAGAATCCAGAAAATCACATTTTCTTTAATTGTGCTTTTTTTTGTGAAGATCTGGAAGGCCATTATTGGTCTCTGCGGTTTGGACAGCTTGATGCTCTCATGTTACTATGAACTGGATTGGGCGATTTTGCTATTTAAATTGGCTTGGAATGCGTTCATTTACAGTATTTGGGAGGAACATAATAGGAGGATCTTTGGGGTTCGACTAAGAATGAAGCCGAGATTTTTTATTCTTTGAAGGAGTTTATTCATTTCAATCTTTATGAGAGTAAGATTGATAGAATCGACCCCATTAATGGTATGCTTCGTAAAGATTGGGGCTTGTTTGACTGATTATCGAGTTATCGTAGATACCCTTATCCTTTTATAGCGACTTATCGTGTTACTTTTGGATTTAATACATACATTTTTATATATATAAAAAAACTTAAAATATACTTTTCAAAAACACTTCTAAAAACATTTTAAGAAAAGTGATTTCCATCATAATCTCAAAAAATTAAATTTGTAGCTTTTCTAGTAGAAAACCACTTTAAAAGTAAAATTATATTTTTTCCATAATTATTTAATTTTAATTTACAACAATCTCAAACATTCAAATTTAAAATATACTTTTCAAAAACACTTCTAAAAATATTTTTATGACATTTTTTAAAAATACTTTTAAAAAGTAATACCAACCTAATATCATAAGATTTACAAATTAACCACACTTTTTTGCCAACACGTTAGCTTATTACATCCAAAAATTTCTAAAAAGAATCTAAGGCTTGAAATATTTTTTTATTATACTGTATAAAATAAAAAAATTGATAAATAAAATTGAAAATTTATTTTCAAAAATAAAAATGATGAAAATATATTTTTCAAATAAAAAATTCGGTGGAATTGAGTTTTAAAGATAAAAAAGGTCGTGAAAATAAACTATTATATCTAAATAAATTTGAACCACTTAAAATTAAAAATAAGAATTTTTTAATAAAATATTATAAAATAGTATTTGTTTAAAAATATTTTTTCCTACAAAGACCACTTTATTTGTTCTTGTTTTCATTTTTATTTTCAACCAAACATGTTCTTTAGAATCACAATGAAGTCAAATATTTAATTAATTATTCGGTTACATTCAGTGATAGATCTATAGGTTATTGAGAGTCGGCATGTGCCCATCTTGAAATTCGCTTTTTTCGATCAATTACTTATTTTACTGATGATGTACACTTTAAAGTTATATTTGTGTCCACCCATTAAAAATTTTGTATTATTAATATATATGTGCTCATCCTAGCACATCTACAAATATTCGATGTAGATAAATATCCATCTTAAAATTCAAATTTTCTTTCACTTATCTATTTGAGCCTATAAAAAGGGCACCCATATGCCCTTCCGCTCACATCTTTCTGTAATCTCGTAAACGCAATATACGATAAATTGAAAGACAAAGAGACCATGGAAGTAATACAAGTTCTTCACATGAACAAAGGGAATGGCGATACTAGTTATGCAAAGAACTCAAGTGTTCAGGTTTTTATGATTTACATGTTTTTCATATTAATTGCTCTTTCCTCTTTGTTTCTCCTTAACTCCATGTCTTTGCATCTTTCCCTTTGTTAGAGGGAAATCATATCTATCGGGAAAACAGTCATCGAGGAAGCTTTACTGCAACTCTCGGGCAACAATGATATAAAAAGCATGGGAATTGCAGACCTGGGTTGCTCTTCGGGTCCCAACACCTTATCAGTAATCTCGGAGATTATGGACGTGGTTCGAGCAAAGTGTGGTCATATCGGCCGCCCCGTGCCGGAGTTCAGGCTTTTCTTGAACGATCTTTATAGCAACGATTTCAATTACCTGTTCATGTCGTTACCGGCATTCTACAAGAGGCTTAAAGAAGAGAAGGGAGTGGCATCCCACTGCTTCATATCGGGTGTCCCGGGATCCTTCTATGCCAGATTGTTCCCTACCAACACCCTCCACTTCGTCTACTCTTTTTCCAGTCTTCACTGGTTATCCCAGGTTAGTGCCATTTCAATACTGAAACCTTGGGGAAAAGGTTCACGCTTAAACCTCTTTAATGACTTTTAGACATTAAATTACTTTATTTACTTTTAATAGACTTTACTTAAAAAAATTATAAATATTTTAAACAATTAAATTTTACCAAAATATATTTTTTAAAATGGTGTAAAACTCATTTAATTCAAACTAGTGTCAGTGAGTGTCTAATTAAGTTTGTATTAAATTAGTTACTCCAGATTTAGTTAAACATTTAATAATATTATTATTTTCCTTTTAAAATAAGAGTATTTTAATTATTTCTAATGAAATTGATATAAAATTTGTTACTCCAAATTTCATATAATTCAATAACAAATAATTAGTTAAAAAATAATAATGAAATTAGTTATAAAAATTAATGGCTCTCTCGGGTTTATAATGGAAATGAGAAACATGACAGATAAGAAAGTTTTGAAGTGAATAATGAATGTGTAAAGGCTTTAAAAGTAATAGGACAGAAGAAATTTTTTTTTTTTTTTGAGAAAGCAGAAGAAGGGTTTTAGTTGACGGAAATCATGAAGCAACAACAAAAACAACAACAACAAAATCCTATTCCCATGTATAATGGGGTAAGGGGAGATAGGATGGTAGGCTGCGCCCAATGCCAGGATTGAGAACAGCTTCCGTGGAAGACCTCCAGCAGTCAGAAAATCAAAGATAAAGATTAAATGTAATGCATGTATAAATAAATAAATAAATAAATACATAATTGAACAGTCTTCATATGCAGCAATAAATACCGTAATTGCTGCAAACGTTGCATCATTGTTCAATTGTGGGACAACAATTCCTAACAACCATAAGACTTCTATCCTTAAATATTCCGAAAAGAATCACTGATTTTATTATTATCTTCCACCCGTAAAGGGTGTGTCATAATCTAGTCAATAATAACCAGAACATGCTCCTCCTACAAGTTTAAGAAATTACTATATTATAAGATGATATAGAAAACAATGAACATCTATGGAATTGCACCGGAGTATTACTGTCAGGCGAACATATTAGAGTTCAATCCCATGCAGCACCGAGGTTCTTTCCCGCGGCTTGAGAATAAAATTCTGAAATTTTGCAGGTTCCGGTAGGGCTGGAGAGTGATGCCGTGGAGAATTTAAATAAAGGGAAGGTGTATATTTCAAAGAGCAGCCCTCAAAGCGTGTTGGATGCGTACTCAATGCAATTCCAGGATGATTTCTCAGCGTTCATAAAGTCACGTTCGGAGGAGTTGGTTCCGGGCGGCCGCATGGTCCTTTCTTTCTTGGGCAGGAACGCCATTGATCCCGCAGCCGCAGAAGCTTGCTATCAGTGGGAGTTGTTGGCCGAAGCGCTGATGAGCCTCGTTAAAGAGGTATACATTAGAATGGATTAAATCATGGGTTACTGGTAAAAGTTGAATTGTGCTTTGAACCTTTTCTTTTTCTCTCTCTTTGCAGGGTTTAATTGAAGAGGAAAAACTAGATTCCTTCAATACACCTTACTATGCTCCTAGTGCTGAGGAAATAAAGGCGGAGATTGAAAAGGAAGGGACATTCAAAATTGATAGCCTGGAAGTCTTCGATGTGGACTGGGATGGAGGTGCCATTACTGACATCCAAACCCAACAAGGGAAAGCATTGATTGGGGAGCGAGTGGCTAAGACGATCAGAGCTGTGGTGGAATCCATGCTGGAATCTCACTTTCAAATCGGACAAGATACGATGGATGTTTTATTCGTCAAGTTTGCAGACATTGTAGGCACCTACTTGTCAAAGACCAGAACCAAGTACATCAATTTCGTGATTTCCCTGGTTAAAAAGGGATAATCAAACCAACTTGGAAGCTCATATCCCAACTCTGTTTTTATTTTCATTGGACCGTTTATTAGATAACTTATTAGGGTTAGATAACTTATTAGGGAAGTGAATTTAAGCAGGCACGGACCTAGAGTTGATCGGGTAACCGTCTCTTTAATATATTTTAGACTTTTTATATTTTCTATTAATAATATATTTTCGTTCCCTTAAAATCTTATAAGTTTTTCATTCTTTAAAATTGTTGAAGTTCATATTTTATAAACTTATCATTCTATAAAATTTTATAAGTTCGTTTTTATTATTTGATCACTTCTGATATAAAATTTTGTTTTCCCTGAATATAAATAAAGCTTTGGGGCTGACACCCTCTGATTTTTATTATACTAAGTTATTTGTAGTGATCGAGGTGGTGTAATGAACAATAACAAATAACTTTTTCTCCTTGAAATTCTTAATTATATTTTACATTCATAAAGCAGGTGTATTCCAACTAATTTTTTTCATTCCAGTTCCACCCCGAATGGTTTTTGAGACACGTAACCCGGATGAATACCGGCGATCTAAGGCCATGTAAGAAAAATCATATCCACAAATATTGTTGGCCTTCATATGAACAAATTTTGGGTTTAAGATGATAAACATAATCTTTGTCGTGTTCTTCATGCCAATATTGGAACAATATAGGGTTTAAGACGATGGGACTTAAAATTTTGAGTTTTTTTTTGTTTATTTTTTAAAACTAAGAGTTCGAAACCTATTCATCTTATTTTTATTTTTAACTTTTTAACTACTCAATATCATTTTATAACATTTGGGCCACATAATAACCGTTAAATAAATTTTTCAAAGGTGAAATTTATGAATTTTATTAAGTATGCATGGTAGGTAAGTAATAAGATATATTATATTTTTAGAGAGATTAATTTTAAATTTTAATGCACTAACTAAGAAAGGTAAAGAAATTATTATAATTCCTTGAGGTCTCGGATTTTAGGACCAGAAATGTCAGGGGTGTGAGCATTCAATGTCAAAATATTGAAAATTTATTTTTGAACAAAATATTATTTTGTACTTATCCCAAATTAATAAAAATAAATAAATTTTAATATTAATATTGTTAGAAGATACAAAAACAAAATTAAAGAAGTGTTAACTCTAGAAAATTAATATGTAAAACTATATTTTAAAAATGGTATTAATATTTTTAAATTTATATCCAATTTTTAAGAAAAAATATATAAAATTTATATAAAAAAATGTGTCAACTGACACTTTTTTATTGCGATTTCACCAAAAATCATAAATTTTTAAAATAATTAATTTTCGTAAACGATAAAACAAACAAATTACATCAATTATAGTTAATGAAAAATATCTAGAAAATGTAACATAATTTTAGTTATTTCATTCTTCCCATCAAATCATATAAAGCTGTTCACATTATATATACTCGTTCAATCAATGGTCGTTGAAAAAAAATCATCGTACAACTGTGAACCATGAATTAATTAGGCTGTCGATCACAATTTTCTAGATTTTCCTTCTTCGAAAATTCTAAAAAAAAAAAAAAAAGTTATACTGTATGACATTCTTAATATATAATTAACATACATTCTTAATATATAATTAAAAAAGTGATGTTATCGATTTTGATATTATTTAAATAATAAAATAGATAAAAATTATTTAAAATATTATTAATTTTATTTAAAATATTAATTTTTTTAACATTTTCGGTAAAGTACCTAACAATAATAAAATTAGTAGAAAAAATAAAAAAATTGGTAGAAATAATAATGTTTTCGATAATTTTTTTACCAATTTTATTATTTAAATAATAAAAAATCCGGTAACGTCTTTTTTAACCGTATATTAAGGTTGTCGCACGTGATCATTTCTTAAGTAAAGAAGTTAAAATATGATTAAAAAATAAAAGTGATCTAGAATATTAATAGAGAGCATAATATTTTAGATTAAATGTGATATAAAATGATTTTTTATTTTTTTATTATAATTTAAAATATTATATTTTTGTAATATTTAATAATAAAAAATTAGCCATTTTCTTTACAATTTTAGGTTGTAATAAAAAAATATTATAAAAAATATTTGGTTTTGAAAAACGTGCACATTACAAAGTCCTTGAAGAGATTACAGTATTCAAAACGTGCGGTATAGAAGCTACCTAGGTAGTTTGATTGGCAGATTTAAAACTATGTAATATGTGGACACGGATGCATGAGGCGGCGGAGTGGGAGGTGCCCATGCATCCGAAAAGAAATATTTGACGTTTGAAAAGAGATGTTAGATACTCCTATACAGCAAAAATTGTAAGTAAAAGTCGAAACAAAGATTATATATAAAAAAACAAAGATACTTTTATTATAGTCTCATGTGATTTTTACTTAAATTTTAGTTGTAATATAGGAATGATATGATTTAGGCTAAAGTACACAAATGATCTCCCGATTATATGATATTGTTTAGTTGAGTCTACCGACTATATCTTGAACAATAGATTAATATCTAGTTTAGACCGCCATTAATTTTTTAACAAAAAGAACGAGTTTTTAACATAATCAATTATCGAGTGACCATTTTGTAACTTTTAGTAATCGATAGACTCAATAAAACAACATCTTATAGTTGATGGATCATTTTTAAAAAATTATACTCATATGACTTAATAAAACAACATTCTATAGTCGGGACCATTTTTATACTTTATCATACCATTTAATATTTGTATCAAATATTAGGCACTCTTTAAATTGTTAGATAAATAAATGTTTGTAGATGATTGATATGGTTATTTAATTAATTTGTTTTTTTCTTATTAATCTAGAGTAAGTATAAGGCAATGTCTGTTCATAGATAACTCTCAACTATTTGATATTGAATGCTTATATCTTTCAGATTTCTGGTGTTCGAACATATAACCTCAAGAAATAATAATTCTTTTACCACCGAAGTTGTTTGGTTCATGCAATTAATTTGTAATGTAATTACAATGATGTGTGGTACATTTAGCCTATGATGGCCCAATATATTTTTTATTGTTTTAACTCGGCTTTTCTGTAATACCTCAAATTTTGGTTATTGATTAAAATATAAGTTTTGAAAGTTTGGTAGCTAAAGTACAAGCTTTGAAAAGTCTAGGGACTAGAAATATAATTTTGAGAAGTTATATATTTTATCTCGTACATGAACATTTTGGCCTAAAACAATAATTTTCATGGTCATCAAATTTTGTGTACGAGATTTGTGTTAAAAGTTATAAAGTGATAAAGTTTGGTATAAAAATCGGATAATCGGATCGAACTAGAATTTTACGAAAATTTGCATGATGCTATATAATTGTTGGAAATATTATTTTCATATTTCAAATCAGATAAATTTAGCACATATCAATGTAATTTTTCAAAAATGGCCGAACAGTGAAAATTTTAGTGACTAAAATATAATTTTTGAAATTGTATGGCCAAAGTAGAAAGTCAAAGCCAAGTTTGTTCATTTTTGACTATGGAATAATTTAATGGAATTTAATGCAACGGCATTTAGTAAATATCAAGTTTCATTAATGGTAATTTTGAAATTTTTCATTAATTGAATTTTAAATTCTATTATATTATTAAAACGCCATACGTTAAGGATTATAATACTAGAATAATCAAGAAAATTAGCTTATTTTCAGCCATATTCTTCACCTAGGTCGAACCTATAATATCCCAAATTTTGGACCAGTGGTTGAAATGTAAAAATTCGAAAAACTTTGGGACTAAATTGTTAAGTTGTAAAAGTTCAAAGATTAAAAATGTAAATTTTTAAAAATTATATTATGGTCTGTAAATAAATAGTTTAACTGAAGAATAATATTTTAGTGGGTTTTTGATTTTTGATTTGGAGTTTGTATAAAATTCTATTAAATGATAAAGTTTGGTATAATAATCGGATAATCAGATCGAGTTGAAAGTCTACAAAAAATTTAAGGAAGGTATTTTTGGGTTAGAAAAATTATAATGATAATTTAATCAATGGATTTTGAAGTGGATTGGTGGAATTTGGTGGAAATTGTAATATAAGTTGAATAGTGCAATTTAGTGACTAAATTGAGTTTTTGGAAAGTTGAAAGGACAAAGAGGGAAATTGATAGTGGGATTTATATATATATATATTTAAGAATATTAAATTGGAGATAAAAGGATGGCATTGAAGTAAATAAGTGGATTCATTAATGGTAATTTTGACTTTTGGCTTAAAATGAATAAAAAATCATTTTTAATTAGATTTTAAAGGTGAAGTTGGGAGATTTTTTGTAAAGAAAATTCAAGAAATCTCTCTTCTTCTTCTCCAGACTGGACAAAACACTATAGCCAAGGTGAGTTTGATTTTCTTTTTTCGTTTTTTGGTCCATTTTAATTAGAATTTGGACTAAAATGTGAAATAGGAAAATGTTCTCTACTAAATTCTCTTTCTTTTGGTATAAATTTTGCATGATTTCATGCATAAAGAGTGAAATGGTTTTTATGGTGATTGAAGGGGAGGTGATAAATCAATGAAATAAGATTGGATTTTGATTTTAGAGTGTTATGGAATCAAATACACGTCACTGAGGGACCAACTTGGAAGATTCAATTATGTAGAATATTTATGTGAAATTGTTGATTTTGTTTTGTTTTTAATGTGAGAATGATTAGAATGAATGGAAATGAGTTGTAGGTGAAGAAATCAAGCTTGAAACAAAGTTGGAGACCATTAAGGATTTCCTTTTAAATTTTCAGCCTTAAGGAAGAAAAATAGGAAAAATTATACAAAAATTTCTTTAAGGCTTAGAATCGATGTAGGAATGATTTCATGTGATTGGAATTAAGTTTTGGATCAATTTGGAGTAATGTTAAGTTTATGAGACTCTTTTTGCAAAGTTTGGGAAATTAAAGGATTAAGCTGTGAGTTTTTGAAAATTTAAGTATTGTGCTGGAAATTTTGTTATAATGTTGAATTGGGGTTAAATTAGAAAATGGTATGAGATTAAGGATCAATTTGAAGGCTTGGGAAAAGATTAGTGATGAAATGATAAAAATATAAAGTTGAAGTACTAAATTGGAAGTTGTGAAGAATGGTGAATATGGTGATTAAT